ATTCAAATGTAAAAATCAAATATTTTTGATAAATCAAGGTTTAAATAAAAGAATTTCAAACTAGAAAAATTATACAAAAAATTACTTAATATGAATGCAAATTAACTAAGAAATAGTAAAAATAAGATAATTTAAATTAAACTGTTATATCATCAAATTGGAATTGTATTCGAATTTCCAACATTCAAAGTTATTTCAAAAATCTAGGTTCTTAATTTAATATTTACAATTTATTTAATACCTTGTTAGTACTTGTGTACTAATTTTTTAATAAGTGTTTATTTCTATAAATTTTACCAAATTTTTAAAAATTTAGTTATCATTTCGAATTCGCATTGAAATTGATATAAATGATCTTCTTGATCGATCATTACTATGTCAATTATCATATATCATTTACATTTGCGTGAAAAAAACTATATCATCCATATAAATTCGTTCTAAATTACTTCATCTATGACCAAGCACACAATTAATATGAATGATTAAATAAATTAATAGATGCAAATGTATGAATAACTGTGCAAGATGACATAGAAATTAGTTTATAAGTTTATTGATATGGAACTGCAAGGCAATTGTTGCAACAGTCACGGTTTATGCATATTGCATTAACTCCACGATATGGATCATCTAACGCGACTTTGGGTTTACTCTGCTCGGAATATCCTATAATCTGGTGGAGAGGTTGTCAAAGTTTAAGGACAATGTCATTTTAGACCAGTGGTCGGGGAACTTTTGGAACCGTTACCCCAAAATGTTTTTGTGCAACCTCTCATTACCCCAAAAAAAAATTAACTAAAAGAGCCTATAATTGGAATCTGTTTGCAACATATTTCTGTATAACCTGCCATAACATTGTTTGTTACTTCTAAACTTTGAAAAAGGCTGAAATAAATGATTTGAAGGAAACAATAAGTAAAAACTATATTCATTATGAATAAATATATTTTTCATGAAAATCCTACTAATACATGGCAAATTGCCTGAACTTTCCGCACCGTGACGAAATTTTCGAGGAATTTTAAATGTTTCCAATTAGATTATTAAAAATACTGTAACATTGTATTACAAAATTAATTAAAATTACAAAATTTAAAAAAATTATTTACTCGAAAAATATAAGTGAGCTTTAGAACTTTAGCTAGAATTAAAATTAAAATCTGAATTATTTTCGATACACAAAGAAAAATTTTTTGAAAAAAAAATTGAAATATTTTTCTTTCACAAAAGTAATTATTTTGTCAACACAAACAGCAAGTTTTTTTATTCATTCAAATCGGATGCTTAGTTCTCTCAAAAACTGCCATTTTTGTACTTCTAGCTCTGTATCTTCGAAATGGCTGGACATGCCTTTGCCAAAACCTAATCACTACTTCTCCGAATCATTATAAATTGAATGTTTTTTGGATTATTCATATGGGATACTGCGTTCTCTTAAAAATTCGATTACTATTTTCTGCACTCTTTACTCCGTATCTCCGTAACGGCTGGACCTGCCTTTGCCAAATACTAATCAGCATATCTCCCTATCAATAGTTCATCCGTGCGCTCGAAAACGTGAACGAAAAAATGCGGACACACAAAACACACACAAACACACATCCATTTTTTCTGAGGTATGGCGTTGCAAATTGGCGTGGCACAATTTCTTCAAAATTTCATGTCTGCTAAATATGCGAGATATGCCAGAAAGAGTTTTTAAAATTTTCAGCAAAAATATTTTTTTGAGAAACCATAGAGATTTCAGCTTCATTTTTAAGAGTCCATACTCAATTTAAAATATTTCGGCGAGAGAACCACCTTACTTCTGTATAATAAAGAAGGTAAGTCTCAGCTTCACCATCCTGACATATTTCGCAAAATAGCCGCGTATTTAGTGCATGTCCCTTGATAAAATTTATAATCTTGATAACATCATGAGTGTGGGTTATTTTCCCTTACAAAAGCTGAAAAACCATAAATATGACCCATCATAGATGGTGCTTAATCCAAAGACACCAAACTGCAATTTCCCCATTTTAATCTTTGCGCTTTGAAGTATTCGTTTACTTTATTATAAATATCAATTTCACGATATCTGAACTCGAGAAGAAAACAAAACAGCAATTTCTTTTCAAAATTATCTGCACCTTTATAGCAAACATATACCAGTTGTGAATTACTACTGAAATCCGTTGTCTCAAACTGAATAGCAAAATATTTAGTTTGTTTTAATGCAAAAACTTCACATTTTTTGCTAATGCAGAGAATCTTTTCGGTAGTAGGTTTTACTGAAGCTGATTTAAAACAAGCAAGATATTTAACTTGTTTTAGTGCGAAAACTACTTTATTCCTTCACATTTTCTGCTAATGCAGAAATTCTTTCCGATAGTAGGTTTTACTGAAGCTGATTTAGTGCTTTGCAAATATATACTTTTTACCCCCAAAAATTCCACTTTTACCCCATTTGGGGTAATTTACCCCGGTTCCCCGACCACTGTTTTAGACAGAAGTCTGTTCTAGAAATTATAAAAATTTTTGTAATGCGATTCCTGAACCCGTCAGATTTACTTCAGGACATCCACATGATAGTCCTCATCAAAATTCAATCCGGTCTTCTGTTTTTTAGTATATGACATCTGGACCAAATTTCAATCATGAACCGTTTTTGCTCCAAATTTGATTCTTTTTCAAGGTTCAAAAACAATTTGTTTTTAAAATTCAAAAAACATTTAGTAATTATGGACAACAATATTTAATGTTAATTTTATAATTACAACAAATTGACAAATTCTATTGAATATATTACAATCTTTTGAACTTACACCAAAAGAACATCTATAGTTATGAGTTCTAGTAACGATAGTTCAGGAGTTTTTGGATTTTGACTTCAGATTTCCCCAAAAAATCATAAGTGGTATCCAAAAGGTGAATCATGACTTCTATACTATAAATTTATAATTCTAGCAAATTTTTTAACACTATAAAGTTCCTCATAAGCTTTTGAATTGAGCAAACCATGCACAGAAGCTTTTAAATGATGGCACCTGATTTCTCAAAAGGATTATAAGTGATAAATAAAGTAAAGGATTAAATAATCATTTCATGACTCTACAAATGTATAATTCTCTTTCTCAAATACGTTAGATACTTATGAATTCTAGAAACTATATACAGAATATTTTAAATAATGGCTCCTGATTTTTCAAAATGATTATAAGTGGTGCTTAGTGACCAAGATTCTAGCAATGATTTTATGGCTCCTAATATATAATTCTCTGTAAAGTATGGTAGATATTTTCAGTTTTTTTTTTCAGAAAAACCATAGCATAGACATTTTTACCCCATTTGTTAAAAGGGCCACTATGACCTTGTCGTCGGAACCAGAAGCTTTGGTGGTTTCTAGCCTCCAAAATTTGTAATCCTAATAAATTGTAGAAATCTATGTTGAGAATGTGTACAATATAGCAGTAACGAAATGTAGTTTTTTTTGTCAACCAAATCCACATATTTTTTATTTTTAAAAGATGTATGTTATGTACACTTGGAATTGGAATTATACGACCAATTGGTGCCATGGCACTACTCAAAAAATTTCTTTCTATTATTTGTTTCTGGTATTTTGGTTCTGGTTAAACTTTGACAACCAATGTTTTACATATAGTTAATGTTATTGTTGCCTTGTCAGATCTTCAAGTAATATTATTAGTGTAGTACAATTCCGTTGCTTTTGTCGATACGCCTTTTGGTCTTGCCTTTTATCAATCTAACTGTTCCGGTGTACTACAGTTGGACTTTTTTTTTCAAGCAAATGTTGGATTCGAATTTAGAATTTGCTCACACAATGGGAGAAAAAAGTCGAAAACTAATTGGTAAAAAATAGTCGAGGAGAAAATAGTTCTGATATTACGTTAATTTTATTGGCCTTATAAAATTTGAGAAAGTAATTGATTTATAATTTCTATTAAAACTTAAATCACATGCTATAAAGCATTATATCATATGTACCATTTTTAGAAACAAGTCTTTCACATTATTTATATAATTCCGCATATTTATACTTTATACAATAGATTAACAGTAGTAACTTTTTATTAACTAATTTTATTAATAACATTTCGTATTTTTCTTTAAAAAGATCAATAAATAAGGAGATTTTTTCTACCAAAGTACTTTACGTGCTGGTTCTTAATGGACTCATTTATTACTTATGGTAATTTTATGTAAAAGATTTTTACTTGAAATTATTATTATTATATATATATATATATATATATATATATATATATATATAAGGTGGTGCACGTCAAATTATGACAACTCAATTAAAAACTGATACAAGCATATTTTACACGTCAAAAACAGAGAAACGCATCAGTTAATTAAAACTGGAATATCTAAAAAAAAAACACTCGTAATTCGTGCAATCGTTTTATAAATTGCAAAAACTTAATTAAAACTGTCTGTTATTGTTTACAATAAATGCCAATAATAATTGTATGAGAAAAGCGATGAATTTCATTTCCAATTTCAATTGATTTTTCTATTAAGTTGGTAATCCGATGACTCCCAAAGTTTAAGTCATCATCCCATGAATTTGGTATTGGGCAATTGAATAGTTCTTGTTGCCAAATTCAATTATTAGCATTTGGTACGGAACCCTCAAAAGGCAAACCATACTATATCTGTATTCTATAATCCATGGATTATGACAAGATAAATTTTCTAAGCATCCAATGTCTTCTGGCGATCATCGATTTTGCGTTTTGTTATGGGATTGTTCTTATTGGAACATTCGTTGCGGTACTTTTGTATGAAGAGATTGATATGCGAAGCGAAATCGAGGTTCCGTAAATGGGAAAATCTGAAGGAAAATGATTGTTGCAATAAATAAATAAATTGTTTATAATATTATATAATGTGATATAAGAATCGTTGCTGGTGTAACAGTATCATCCATCAAACTTCTTAGATGCAAATTTAGTATGTCTTTTTAATATTTTTTTCTTTGTCTGCAGAATACTTATACGAATGCCGAAAAATTGTTAGCAGCAGCCGAAGAATTAGCACGAAGTGGCGAATGTGATGCCCAACAAGTCTGTTCTGTAGCCAGACAATTGGAACAAAGAGTTACTGCATTTGCCAACAGGGTAGAACAGAGGAGGAGACGATTGGATTTGGCTGTTCTGTTCTACACACACGAAAAAGAGGTAATTTTCGATAGAAAATTGATATTTTCATTATTTTGTGGCTAAGATTTAAGTTGTTCCTACTTTTGGAATTGTATTACAAGTTCAGTAGTGAAAACCCTAAAAGAATTGATATATGGTTCAACAATATCCAAGAATTATTTCATTCGGCAGTTACTAGCTCTGATATTGGACGAGTATTGAACAGTCAATATGAGTAATCAATAAGTTCTTATCAAGCAGCATCAAAATGTTCTCATCTACCAATTATGATAATCGTTGTCGAAATGTCCTTTTAACCAAGTTCTTTTGATTTAATCTTTCACAAATTATTATCTCCATGTACTAATTATTCTCTTTTTTCACGAGAAAGAGGTAAATTTCATTAAAAAAATAATATTTGTATATTTTTGTGGGCGAAGTTTTAGAGTTGCCTCTACTTTTGACATTGTATTATCAGTTCAGCTGTGAAAGCCCTAAAAGAATTGATATGTTCTTTTACAATATTCCAGAATTATTTTATTCAGCAGTTACTTGCTCTGGTTTTGGACGAGGTTGTTTAACTGTCACTAGAAGTAATCAAAAAGTTCTTGTCAAGCATCATCAGAGTGTTCTTGTCTACTAATTATGATAATCGTTTGTCAACTGTTCACTGATATCCTTTGAGATTTTTGGACCAAGTTATTTGATCTTTCACAAATAATCTTTTCCGTTCAATTTTTTTTTCTCTTTCAGTTATCAACTTGGGTGGATGAGCTTCGTGCAGATTTGTGCAGTGAAGACGATGGTCAAATTCCAGGAGGTGACACGTGGGAAGGGGCCGAACGCCTGTTAGAGCAGTGCGCCCAACATCGGGCCGCGGCCCTTGAGGCTTGTTCCAACACAATAGCACAGGGAGAGGCACTTTTGCAAGAGATCAGGTGATGATAATAATTTGATATTTTGTAGATGTTATATATATATATATATATATATATATATATATATATGTAGCGGCCTGTCAACACGCATCGCATTTCTACTGGACAGATAGGCTCATCATAGTGACAGCACGGAAGAAACAAAAGTTTAAGTGTCAGTTGGGATCTCTCTATTGTTTCTCCCCAGTCTCACTGCCAAAATTATAATTCATAACACTTCTCCTTTTTATTTAAAATACACAAATACTAACTATATTTTATAAATGATAAATATGATAACACATAGTGTCGTTACTATTTTATTATAAATAAAATATATTACATATGGACCACGGCTTTCCATATATATATATATATATATATATATATATATATATTTAATAAATAAAACCAAGTAAAACAATGTTTTTCGATTTTGAAAACAAACAACATAGTCAACATAGTCATAAAAGTGTTTCTATAGTATTAATGCAACTGGTGTTCCACAAATAAATCAGTCTACCCAATACATACAAATTGAATATTCTATAGAATTTCATATTGATCTAATAATTATAGGAGCACGATTTATGAATTTTAATAGGTGCACATGCGTTAGTCAATCGACCGTGTTAGCTTTCTTTGGAAGCTAAAATTTATTTCACACGAACCATCATACTGATTTCAATTTAAATTTATACATATCTGTTAAATATTCGATTTTCTACTTTCATTGAAAAATACTATATTTTGTGTAGATTATATTCATTTCAATATTTTAATCATCACCTTACTCATATCTTTAGAAGCCCATTTTACAAAAAAAAATATTGAGGTATATGAAAAAATCATAGAAAAGTAATATGATCAAGAACGAATTTCAAATTCTGATTTTATCGAGTACCCACTAGATTGCTTGATCCGCCATTTTGCTAATTTCGATTATTACCTTACTCAAATATTTAGAAGCTCATTTAATGCGTTGCAAAAATTAAGTTGAAAATTTGTAGATATCCTAATTTTGCATTTGAGTAGAAGTCAACTGTTGATGATAGACCTACCATTGTTGTTCTTGAAAAGTGAAAAATAAATCAAAGTCGTTTTTTTACGAGAAAACCATTATTAGCTGTGCGACGTTGGTAGTATTCACACTTTTTAAAACTTTTATCTATACCTGGATATAACTTTTTTTGTAATTTATAAGCAATATATAAGGTGAGTCTCCTTAGTATTTAAATCATGTGTTAGAACTATTTTCTATGAGTGTGAAACTAGCTTGCTGCCTACTATGATATTCTGTTCACGAAATTAGTTATGCTAATTATGCTATATCTAATAACGAGAAGAGCAGACGTTATCCATTCGAATTCCTTATGGCGAACGATTTTGTCGAAAGTAACGACCGAGGCGTGATATAAATTGGGAATTAAGATTCAATTAAGTAATCTGGAGTGGTATGAACGAACTCGGTGAAGGAGAATTTACATATGGAATTGAATTTGTAATATTTTGCAATTCATTTATACAAAGCATTATGAAGTAGATATATTTTTAAGTCGATTGCGAAGTAAGTCTCTTGGGTCAAAAACCATTGGGAATTACAAAAATAAGTTTGTTTGTCAATAGATCAATGTTATTATGTTTTAACCTAATGGGAATTTAAAAATAGAATTATCAAAATTAAATCTTAAAGATCTTCATTCATCAGTTCACTACAAATAACAGTTTTAACTATCCTAAATTTTGCAAAATGCTTCTGGAACTAGAGTATAGCCAAGAATGCTCCTCAATAATTATTATGTTGATGGCTTGAAGATTTATTTAACATCTCCTACGATCACTGGCTTGAGTGTGAATTATAAAAATCTCTCACCAATAATGATTCCAATGAAAGTCTTCCCATAGCAATTGTTGTCAAAAATTATTTAGGACAATAATTAATAGATCATTTTAATCTGAACCATACGTTAACAATTTTTCCATAGTTGATTTTCTTGGTGACTTTAAAATCATTTTTATCTTCTCTTTAAAAACTTTTTGCCAACACGAAAATACTCTTTGTTTCTTCTACTTTAACAATAGGAGATTATTACAGACCCCTTACCATATCAATTTTTAATTGACCTAAGAGTTGACCGAGAATAACTAACAAAATAATAATCACTTTTGTTATTTACTTGATTGCACCACATAGTTGTTTCACTCCTCTAACTTTTGGAAAACTAGTTCTACATGGTTTCAGCAATTGTTGAATATTTTTACTTAACACTATGGTGATTTGAAGAGCTATTTTTTAAAGAGTAAAAAACCATACTAGGATATAAATAATGACATCAATTAGACATTTTGCAACCAAGCCCCTAAATATAAAGATTACTTGTGTGAACTATAGAAATTTCTGTCCTAATGGTTATTATATCTATTATGGAAGTGTTCCAAAATTCTCATCCATAAAAATGTCTAAACACAATGAAACTATTAAAAGGAGCGGTACCATTTGATATGTAGATTTATCTAATAAGGTTGTCAACATTAACGAATTTATTTTATAACTATCATGTCAACGGCTACTGTTTGCCAACGTGCTGCACCTTGAAATATTGCCTGGCGCGGACCACTCATTAAAATTCATGATTCTTCATTCAAATATAGTAATTTTCTTAATGACACAACTATTTGCTAATTGATTAATTCCAATGACAAAACTGGACTCGTTTAGTAGTCTATATTTCTGTTTTATGTGCTCAAAGGTAATAGAGGCATTAGAAGATTTAATGGATAGAAGTGATCGAAAAAATCGAAGATTTTTGTCAATATTGAAACGTGATCGAAAACTATTATAAATAAAGTAGAATTTTATTTGAAGATTTTGAATTTTGGACCTCCTCAATGGAGGATGATCTTAACCAGCTCAATTTGGTGAATTAGACTCTCCAAACTAGTCTGCAATTTATATGTCACTTACTCAGTTGCAATCAAAAATGGTCCCTCTATTTTTATCGTTCTACCAAATTTTGAGGTATTCAAGCTAGATTCTCAATTAATTATATTTTATTCTTCCACTTAATTCCATCTCTTGTAAATCGTTAAACACAATTAGTACTTTGCTCCAAGTTTTTATATTGTGTCTTTTAGATTAGTATCAATAAAAATAATCTGTGTAAACTCGTAACACTGCTAATTAAAATATTATTGCATTGTCGGGAATTATAAAACAAATACAAGAGTAATTTAAAAAAAAATCTTGATGCTGGAAGTAGTTATTTTAATGACCAGACGATGAACCTACATATGCAAAGAATTTCGCAAACATTGGAATTAAAAGACAGAGATCTAGAGCTCGTTTTAGATAAAAATATTTGTGGCATTTAGATAAATATCAGTGCTTTGGTTTTTTGGTATTATTTTAAATTTTCAATAGATTATAATTTAATATAGAGTTATATATACCATATTTGTCCAGTTCGATTATGACAATATTATAAATATACAGAGATATCGTTTTCAAACGCCTATCTACAATTCAAATGGTATCAAATTATGCATTGGAAAACTAAATAATGTCCTGCTTTATATCATATATGTATATAATTTGCAATGTACAATTTTCTACTAAAACATTATATTCCTGGGGCAAATTTGTTGAGTTAAAATTTTTCACCACATATGATAAATATGTGATATATCGTTTCTATATGCAGACCTGTATCAAATATCATAGTATTAAATAATGATTAAGATTTGATAATAATTATAATTAAATGATATTTAAAATTATAAAGCCTAATATGTTCTTCTTAACCACACAATTCCTCTCTGACTATTAAGTATTTATCTTTTAAATAAAATAAGGAAGTACCTGATATTTTAATTTATAAACATTATTTATGGTATTCAATATGTTAATTATTTTACGATTTTTCTTGGAAAGTATACTTGTCTCCTTGATGATGTCTTTGGAATGATTTATTAATGGAAATGATAGGCAGCTTCATTAAATTTCTAATAAGAAAGTATATAAATAACTAGGCAGGTAGAATAAAAATGTTAGCTTTGAGGAATTTTGTAGCTACTGATATTATTGCTACTGGTATTCTTGTGTAAGTGGAAACTTCAATACATACTGAGATAAGCATTTGATTTTTTTGGCCATATGAGATACATAACTTTTGCAGTATAGTATATTATATACATTTTGAAAACAATTCTATTTTGTATAAAAATTTGGGAGACTCCAAACATTGGTCAAATTTATCTATATTTATAAAAGTGTTTTTTTTTTAAAAAAAAAAATGCTATGCATTTCTTAACTTTTCTGTTGGTCCTATCTTTTTACCATAAAAAACTCGATTCGTAATTGCCCTACATCAACCGACTATCATGCAGAAGTGATATCACTACCTAAAATTGCATTGTAGAACTTCTCACCCTCAACTTTCCTGATTTGAGTTGTAGTTTTACTGAGCCGTCTGATAAATGTCCTGGTATATTATTATTTCACCATTTTCATTTAGCAATTTTTTTATTTAAATCTTTTACTCATATAAATCATGTTTCTTATCTAAATCATATGTTATGGTATACAACTTTATTTAAAAATAAAAAACTGTGTATAAAAATTTGCGCATCTTTAATTGCATTACAAACAAGGTCACTATACAAACACGTTGATATATCTGGGAGAATATATTATAGTTATCCAGAATAATATAGCAGTGATGTCCAAAACCAATGAAAATATTGACACAGAAAATTATATTATATTTTATTTGAGCAACTATTTTTATAGTTTAGTGGTCATATAATGGTAAGTTTCGATTATGATCGGTCACTCTTAGCAGTGGTAGTTTATTTAGTCAGGCCAACTTGAAACTACTGACAAAATTCTGAATTCTAGAGATAGCTAGCGCTATTTTGGCACTGTTATAAAAACCGTGCACTTTTATGTATTTTTTGGTAGCAAGAGTCTATTGCATAATTCTCTGAATTTGCCAACCTAGTTTCTAGACTACCTAATAATA